TGACACTCACCCAGAGGAATGTTTCCCCCGGTACGCTCATTTGGTCTTCTCCTTTCCCATTAATGAAAATGGAAATACCTTTGAGACAGAGTGTCATCTCGGATTCCCATTCTGAACCAAAAGACATCAGGAGCAATGACTACTTTAGAAATGAAATTTTCATTGGATAATTACTGAATCAGTTTTCATTGGATAATAACTAAATCTTAACTAAATGGACAAATAAATTGTGATACACAGCTGTCCTTAATAATTAAGGAGTACAATGTTCCAGACAAATAATACCAAGCTTTGTCCTGAAACACAAGTTTGTTTCTTTAAAAGAATTTCCTATAATGCTGGTGGAGATGTACTTAGATACTGCAGCGTTCATACATGAGTCTGCAAACTGATTTATACATGTGCCAGTATGCGCCATATCACCCCCATCACATACAAGCATACATCAGCCTGAAGTCATTTTCTAAGAGTTATGTCTTTTTTTTAAGGAAAAATAGAAGCTTCTTTAAGTGCAAAAACAGCATTCATGTCCCTGCCCGGCAGCAGCACCCAGCAGGTGCTCACTAAATCATGCAGACTAATCTATTCTAAAGTGTAACTCAAGTGGGTATGTCTAGTAGACAAAGCTACTTCAGCAAAGCACATTAGACTTTCTGTACTGTAGAACATGATTTTGCTCCATCTCCACAGGAAAAGTGTCTCAGGCCCTGTATGTGATATTAGTGGGGGCATACGCTGAGGCACCCTAAAACACAAGGAGTAAAGACGTAAAATTATACTTCAAAGCTAAGTGCTAGTGTTCGAGCACACTTTGGCGACCTTTCAATGCACAGCACACTCTGAGCCCCCCGAGGTCGCATTAGTGCTGCTTTAACTTCAGGATGACAGAGGGCCCTGCCCGGAGAGCCCAGAAGTACATTATTGTTATACATCAAAGAGACCCAGAACACCTAGGGAAAGGCCATAAGCCCGGCCACAGCCCGAAGAGCTCTCTGCATTCATTTCCAGCGTGGCCAAAGCCAGCACTGGCTCGGGTGATGCAGAAAATAGCCTCAAATTACTAGATAGCTGTCTAGAAAAACTGAACACGGCTCACAGTTGAGTCCTGAGACGACAACACTTGCAAAAAAATGAAGAATAAGACAGATTTTTTTTTTTTTTTTTTTTTTTTTTTTTAAGAATGAAGCTCCATTACCCCCCTTCCCAAATAGCTGCTTGGAGAAAACAGGAAGATCTTGGGACAAACTGACATTAAAATACATATGCATCCTTTTTCAAATGCTGTAGAATTACATATTTGTACCATGAAGTCTTAGCCAGAAGGCACAGAAATGCATTTAGTCTCATATATGCATTACGTTTACAAATATGCAACATTAATAGAAAATCAGATATGAATTAAACAGTAGTTGTTGACCTCAAAATCTTCCTATTTATTTAAAAAGTACAAACATAAATGAGATATAATGAGATGTCCAATATGAGAGTATCATGAGAGGTGAGCATTAAATATTCTTGAGGGCGTGTAAAATTGGGCAAAATAAAAATTTATGTGTTTTTATCTGGTACGCAGAGCAGCCACTTGGTAAACAACAATGTGCAGTGTCACAGCCGTTGTTGAATTCTTATCATCTTGTTCTTTGAAATTCTGTATGGGTTCTAATTTTATGATCTTTTAGTCTTTAAAATAAAAACAAATGAATATATTCTTTAGAGAAGGAGATTTTCAAGCAGGGTGAGCAGGTGCAGAACATGTGTGGTTTATCTTGAAAAACAAATGGTGGAAAAGATTGCTGGAGGAGACAAAGGGTATTTTAATCAAGAGGAGGGAATGATCCGAGAGGTATGGAGGCAGGAAAATGAACATCTCTTGTGAGGTAAGAATGCAGAAGCAGAAGAAGCCATTCTTCACGCCGAGTCTGTCACCCAGCAGAGGCCTTGGACTGAGAAGCTTCGGAATAGGAGGAAGCATGTTCGGCCCTTGCACAAGGCAGCAGGGGTTGGAGTCAGCATGCTCCAGCCGGAAACGAATGGCAAAATAAGATGCTCACATTTAAGGTTTCTGCTTGCATTACTTACAGGAGAGGAAAGGAAATGGAAGGACACTCGAAGGAGGTGAAAAGACAGTGTTGACAGAAGCCCAGATACGGTCTAGGGAATGCTGGGGTCTGGGAAAGAGTTGAAAGTCAGAGTCCCCGGGGCAATGAAAGGTGAAAAATAAATAAATTTCCAGGCTCAGCCATGAGGAGGAGCCATGTGGCTCGGTGGGGGTCCTCACTAATGAAATATCGCTCAGCCCTTTTCCTCTTTATTATTAATGCATACTCAGCACGTGCCCAAAGCTGCTCATCCCCGCACTCCCACCCACCCTGTGCAGGTGCAGTGGCCTTCGCAGACGACAGGAGCAGGGCCGGGAAGCAGCAGGCCCAGGCTCCTTGTGCTCTTTCCCACCTGCTCCGGTTTCTCTCACACACCCGGCCTGTGGGTGCCTCCCCCCACCTGTCCGCCCTGAGCGTCCCGGGGGGCTCTGCTGTGCCTCCAGGTAGAACGCTTGCCTACCTTGGGCAAGCACTTAGCTTTGATCCACAGGACCACAGAAGAGCCCCACAGCAACAATAACAAAAATAACGGAAACAAAAGGAATCTTAATTTAGCTTGACGATTTCTGAAAAGCACCGTGTCTTGACCCGGCTGTTGATCAGGAGGAAGAAAATGAGTCACGTACCGCTTTTGGAGTGATAAGCAATTGTCCCCTAAAGCCACTGGCCTTGGGGTCATGGTGCACTGCCTGGGCTGGGCGCAGACTTCTGCTGCAGTCCCCCCCTATACCCTGCAACAACCTCAGCTGCACAACTTCACACCACCAATGTTACACACTATTTAAATACTGAAAGTTACCTAAATAATCGCTGGCCTTTGTTTTTGAGATGAAGATAAGCCATCTACTCATTTTTATTTTTTCACTGAGATATCAATTCACAATTATTGGTTTCTAAATCTTGTCATCTGTGCCTACCTCACACACAAGTGGATAAATAGATGTACTACCTACCATGTACTAATTTATTATAAACCATGCATAACACATAGCCTTTTAAAGATGATTCACAAAACTAGCATAAGTAGGATATTGTTTTTGGTGCCTGATGAATGTTTCCCTTAGATTTGATAAATTTCATATTGGAGACCATTTGTTTAGTACTTCATAAAGGAAGTACTAAGAAATGGCTTTCATTAGTTACTCCAAAGGCAGCGTTCTTTACAGCTTACTCATTGGCTGGATGTTGTTCAAGTCGAAAAAGCAGTAGACTGTGTGCTATGTGTTCTAATATTTAAATCAGAAATTAAAAATGAGTTTCCATGCAATTTATTTACTTCTCTATTTTTATTAGTTCTCATTTTATTCATAGACTTTTCCTCAAATGAAATATTAGGTATCTCTCTACAGACATGCAGACAGGCCCAGACACCCTGCCAACATCCTCTGGGTGGACCTATGTGTTGCTTTTCATTTAGAGAGATGTTTGCTCTCACTGGTCATCAAATCAGTTTCTCCTCTTCACACAGCTCAGAGGATTGTCCCTTAACAGATTTAGTAGGGAAGGTGACAAACATTTCCCTTCCACTTCCTCCTCCTCTTGAGTCCTCACAGCATTTTGAAACGTTTTATTGTTGCAAGTTTGCAGTGCATAATAAATATATTCATTGTGGGTCGTTGGTACTTTTGAAATGAAGAATCTACAATACCAAATGGAAGAAATCAGGCAGAAACTGTAATATCAATTGCAATTACTTCAACAGGGGTTTCTGTATTCTGGTTGTCAAACGCAATTTCTTTTGTAAGCCTGGAATCTTAAGTAATTTGCCATTTTTTATACTGAACCTTATTATAGCTGTAGTATACTAAATATGATTTCAGACCAGGTGCATCAGCCTGTCGAATCATTAATCTTTCCCTTCCCGGCTTTTCTTCATCTAGATATTGGCCATTCTTGGGCTCTTGTTTCAAGATCCCTTTTTATTTGACGTGTTCTGAAACCACTCCATCTGAGGACAATTCTTCACATTTTTCAACTCCAGGCTTTTATTAGACATTCACATTCCCCCCTCCAAAGTGATCAGTAATGCATTTTGACTTCCCATGTAATGACCTCAGTACTACTTTGTTTTGTACCACATTATTTATTTTTGCCTCCAGATATTTTAATAATAAGCTATTACTCTTTTTATTACTGGATAATTAATCTACATGACCCAGCACAGTAGCTTGTTCACAGCAATATTTCTTTGGACCTAGGTTGGTTATGTAGGGCTCAGGAAATTCTATACCATGAGCTGTGGCCTGGCCTGCTGAGCACCTTAGAAGAGGCCCCGCTGCCAGGTCTCCTTGCCCCACCTTTAGTATTCCTGTTTGCAGCCCGGAGATAGGCAGAGGGCAGAATTACTGCATCTTCCAGACTGGGGTGGCTGAGGCAGGAAAACTAATGCCTTCTGTCTTTTTACTGACTAACTCCTGGTGCAAGAAGGGAAACCAAGTCCCAAAGCCATAGTACCTCAGTGCCTCTGTCCTGTCACTGCCTCCTGGTCCTGTACATCTCCCAGAAGCATGACTGACCAGCCCTCTCAAAGTGCTTTCACCCCACTTTCCTCTCCCCTTTGACATGTGAGCTTTAGCTACCTGTCCTGACCTTTGAGTTTCACACATCGTGTACGGGTGCTGCCTTTCTGCATGTTCGTGAACTTCGTGTGCTGTGTCCTGCTAATCTTCCCACTACCAAGTTATTTCATAAACTATAACTATTAAAATTTCAGTGGAAATGTATTAACTTCTCTACAACTGGAACACAATCATAGATTAGATTTCATTATAGAGAGAGCTGAATCATATTATATATACTTCTGACTTACTAAGATATTGAATAGTCATATGTGGCTTGGGGGAGGGCAGGTCTGAAAAACGCATTTTTCGATAATTTTATTTTGTGTACATCACAGTACACCTGTAATAAGATGCCTATGATATCTCTAGATTATACAGTCTCTCATTACTGAAATGCTGTGAAAGACTTCATGTGGTAAAAGAATTACGTAGTAGTTTTGTAATCAACATGCACGAGCATTATACTTTAAACAGTGTAGATGTGAAAGCCAAATGTGAAAAATAACTACAAGTATATGAATGGTGCTCCTTTCGGCAGCACATATACTAAAAGTATATGAATGGACACATTAATTTGATAATACTTTTAAAAAGCAGATATAATCATCATGTCTGGTTTTGTGTATAATTTTCTTCTGGATTTTATATTTTTCCATATAATAGTTGCGGGAAGTTTTCATCTTCATTTTCCTTTATTTCTACACATACAAATGTTAATTCTTTAATAAATTGCAACATATTTTCTTCAAAAATGTAAATGTTACAATCAATAACTATTTCTCTTAGAAAGCTTATGTATTGGATAAAGTCCTTTCAAATGGAGATTATCAGGGCCAGGGAGATGGCTCAGTAAAGTAAGCACTTGCCTGGCAAGTGTAAGAGCCTGAGTTCAATCCCCAGTTCTGCCAAAAAAAGAAAAGAAAAAAATCAAAT